GATTTGCAAACTGATGGCTACGCTCTCTATAATAAGAACAGACATAGAAAAATGTTATGCTGATCACCATCTTGAAAATATAGGGCAGGAAAGAAGCTCTTTAACTTGTCATGCACATAAATTTAAAAAATCTGCATTATGAACGTATTTCACTTAGATGTTCTCAAATGTGGCTGGCTCCAAGTTCTAATTCCTCTGCTACTGGGATGTAGGCTGTATCTATATGGCAATATTAATAAATTTATCCTGGAGATACGGAACTTACTTCCAGTGAAAACTTTGCGAATTGAATTATCTCTGCAAAATCTGGTATTTTCCACCAAAGACTACTGTGTCAATAAAGTCCCTTACTGGCTTAGGGTGATGTATGGCAGGATTGAACTGCTCAGAAAAAGGTCTTTTTAAAAACAGTCAGGCCACCAAATCTTTGTGTTTTACCACTACAATGGTAACAATCAGTTTGGAGAAACTGTTAACAGAGGGCTTTATGACTTTTTGAAAATTCAAAAATGACTTTGAACAAAACATCAGGGTCACCAGAAGTCATAAAACATCAAAATTAACAAACACATCACTTTCCTAATGATCGAAGGACCACTCTATGGACTTTATTTGGACCATTAAATGGACTTACTCTGAGACTTCTTAAGTTATTTGGACTCTTAAAATAACACAGAGCCTTTAGGCAGTTTGGGTTTTTTTTTTTCTTCTCAGAATTAGCATAGCAATGGCATACATTCTTTCTCTAGTTTCTAGCTGGGAAAGGATCCAGTGATAGGGGTGACTCCAATTGTATCCTGTCCAGTGGCAGAGCTGGTGGATCCAGCAGTCAGGATTAACTAGATTGGAGTTTGCCTTTCTGTGCTCTACCACCCAGCAGGGAAAGGGTGTGTCTTGTACTTGTACTCTGGGTCTAGAAGTGGCTGCTTCTGTCTGAGTTGGGTTTCTGAGGAGTGGAGTCCTGGATGGTCCTGGAAGTTAGAAAACTTTACAGTGGCACACAGCAGGGCTGCCAGTAATGGCAGGAGGTGGAATTTGTGCCTCTGACTTCTGTTATATGGAAATAAAAATAATATTAAATAAGAAACCTAAGCATTCAAATTTTAAAATGCCGAGGTGATTACCTCTGCAGTGTTAATTATTATTTATTTATTATTTAAGATCTTAATTATTGATCACATTGTCTCCTAAACATAGTTTTAAATTACATGATTAATAACATGCTTTTTGTTCTAATGCTCCTGACTTGTTTGTGTGTATGGGCTGTCCAGATGCAGGTGGAGAGCAGCTATTTAATATTCTTTGGCTCCACCATGCCCAAGTGTGGCTCTGTGCCACGTGTTACTTCACGACAGTTGAAAGCATTTCCTGAAGACAGGTTGCCTAATTTCCTAATGGACACCCTTATGCCATTCACTGTAATGTGACACATCCACATTAAAAGTTATTACTGTTTTATAGGAAAGAAAGTGAGTCACAGGAAAAATAAAGTGTCCTTTTTGCTGCTGTCCAATATAGGCTGCCTAAGACTTTTTTTTTTTTAAACTGTAGAGTACTTAGCATTATGTATCAATTAATATTCTCAAAATAGACATCCTGTTACCTTCAACTGCAGCTGCAGGTACCCAGTGCATTGGTGAATAAGCCTTTATGGTTTCAAATTGCTAGTCCAGAAAATGAGGAAAAATAATACTAGTGCCCAGCTATTAAATCAGAGAGCATTGCAGTGGATTTCTGTTAGAGACAAGTTCAGAATCCTTTTCTTCACAGCTGCTTTCAGTGACTTGAATCATCAGACTTCTGCAGTTTTTCCTCAAAACCATTTCTCATTCACTGTATCATTTTTTCCAGTAAATGAAGCAGTGATCCTGTAGGAAACAGCATACTCATGTAATGCTGATTCACAGTCATCTTTTGGAAGTTTCATCTTTTGAACTAAAAGAGGGAGGACAAATGGAAAAAAAAACCAAACAAAAAACAACAAACAAAAAATAGCCAAAACAAATCCCACCCCAATAAAAAAACAAAAAACAAAAAACAAACAAACAAAACCCCCAAAAAACCACCCCAAAACCAAACAAACAAAAAACAAAGCAAACAACAGCCCACAACTTCAAAACTTCCTTTGGGGAAAGAATGGTCTGATCATGTAATTTAAAAATCTGTATATCCAGGCTGAATTCCTGCATTTCTTTAGTCTTGTGTTCAGTGCTACCACTTTATTTCAAGGTTAATGGTTGTTTCAATAAAGCAATAATCACAAGTTCTCTAACTCATTGAACACCTTAAATCCCTTTATAACTGCATCTTTTTATCTTCTGGTTCACTATTACACAGCAGTGTAGAAAACCGTCATAGGCAAGACTGTTGTGAGTTACAAACTTGTAAAATTGTTAATTCAAAAGCACTGCAGGGAATAGATCTTGTTAAAAATTTGTGTGATAGCTGTCAGATGTTTCAGAAGATGTAAAGGTGTTTTTCTTGAGAACATGTGCTCGCAGTTTGAGATGGGCTCTTGAAAGTACAGCAAAGTTTTGCTACTGGAAACTTTCATGGGTATAAATAACTTTAATAACAAGGTAGATATTTTCTTCTCTTTATATCCAGTGGAACAAAGTCTGTTGACATTAGGACACGGAGTGATGGCTGGTTAAGTGCCTCTGAAGGCTCCAAGGAGAGTGTGGATTTAACAGGGCAGTAGGGTAGCAGGTTACTTGGACTCAGAAGAGTAAAGCTCATGATTCCAGATCTGTAATCAGCTTTTATTGTTTCTCGTGCTGTGGCTAGGTAAGGCTCTAAATATGCCAAGAACAGAATTTCATTGAGAGAATTTTAATGGAAGGAGTAGAGCTGCATTTCAGTATAGTTCAATTGGTTTAATAACTCAGGAATCAAGTACAGAATGAGGTTTAAAAACAGGAATAGATGGGTTCTAGAGACTTTCTCACTATCTCCTGTGAATCTCTCCATATGACACCCCTGTTAATTTTGTAGTGTGTATATATATATATATATATGTATTTTTTCTGCATGTCTAAATATTGGATCCATAACTGCATAAAATATATCCAAGGCAGAAAAAAACCCCATGAAACACTTTTGTATTCCTAAAATTACTGTAATCATGTTACAGATCCATTTGTAGCATGCTAAAATAACACTAATTCATAACTCTCAATGAAACAAGACCACAAGTTACACTTGGTGCTAGTTTATATCCTTTGCATGCTCCTCAATTTGGTAGAACCCACGTAGGCGATAAGTTGTTGCAGAAGCGGAGGCATTTCTGGTTACACATGTCTGGTTTTCTGACAAGAGCCTGTAGCTGCAAAGAACTCTAAAACCTGAGAGTGAGATTGGAAAAAAATCCTTTTTTTCTGCTTTTGTCATTCTGTTGTGCTGGTTTTAATTAGGAAGTTCTGGACCATAGGCCAAATCTGCGTTCAAGGGTCTTATTTTTCTGTGCCCCAGCCATGTGCAGCCTCTCTCCTGGTCTATCCCGGCTGTCACGCTGCTCCCTCTGCCTCTTAAGACAACGTAGGGCAGAGAATCTCTTGTCCCTGGTGCCATGGCACGTTCCTCTGGTCTTTCTGTTCATGGTAGAGCAGTGGCTGCTGCTCAGAGCCCTGTTTCTGCCAGCCAGAGCAGGGGAAGGTCTCCAGGAACCCTCAGGGGATGCTGACAGTGATGGGGTCTACACAGTTCCTAAAAGGATAATTTATGGGACACTGAGTAGGTGAGTGCCAGGGGCTGTCTTTCCCCTGTTTTCCAGCCTGTGAAATAGAGATGGGTTCCTGTTCTTCACAACCTTGCCCCTCCCTGGCAAAAACAGGATTCCCGAGTTCCCATTCCATTCCCAGAATAAATATTTGTTTATTTACTTACTTATTTGCCCTGGAGGACAATTTCTTCATCCAAGACCAAGATAGGGCTTTGGGATTGAGAGCTTTGTGATGGTGTGAGGTGCAGCAGGATGTTGAACAAGGGGGCTCAGACCTGACAGTGCCAGCACTGTCAGACCCTCTAGATATGTTACTTGAGAGGGGTCAAAAAAAATCCACCCTTCCTCCCCTGCCAATTAATTCACTCCTGAATGAAATAAATTTGTCTTTACTGCTGTGCTTTTAAGGTTTCCCTTTCAAGTGCAAAGAAACACTAGATAAAGCCTTGGGAAGGGGTAGGGACAGGTGGTTTTTTGTAAAAGAGAAGCAGTTTGGATAATGATCCAGCCCATAAGAACAGGAGCTGGCTGGATCTTTGGAGGAAGCACGGCAGGGAACACCTCTGCTCCTTTAGTTCAGGAGAAGGTATTCTCCTAAGCTGAAATGCTGGATTTAAATTTTCTCCTCCAATTTAGGGCCTTCAATGTGGTGATTGATGTCACTGGTTCCTTTCCCTGAGCTCCTTTGATGTGAACAGCTGTATTCTCCAGGATAAAATCCCATCACAGGATAAACTGATACGGACATATCTCAGTGTGAAACAGTGTTAATGTTTTTGTGATGTTCGTTATATGTCATAAAAACAGTGGGAGTGTAAGGCATTGGTAACTGAGCAAAGAATGTAAAAACTCCATAGTGCGAAAACCAAACACATCCCTGAGTGCTGAACTTGCAAGAAATACCTATGAACCAACCATATTCTCTAGTCAGTAAAGTTACCTTCGAATGACAGTGCATTTTCAAACACACCATTTAGCTTTTGAATGCCCTTCAGAATATTGCTGGTGGGTTTTCTTCTCCTGAAGACTACAGCAAGTTGTACGTTTGTTTATCTTACTATTTTTATGCAGGCAAAACATCTGGTGCCATAAGCAGACACAGCACTCTTCAGAGTTGCTTAGTTGGTTTTAATTAGAGGGAAGCTGCCTGGGACAGACAATGTTCTTCTCTAAGCATGGTTTCTGGTTTTTTTTCCTACATTAAAAAAAAAAATCCTTTTTTTCTGTTAAAACATTGGTACTTAATTTTTTAAAAATTACAAATAACAGGTGACATACAGCTTTTTCTTAATATAAAACCCCCACAATCTGTAGTTCAGTGTAAAATGATCATTGTTTAATAAGCAGCTTCGTAAACAGAAACCTGAATTTCTCAGATGAGCATGCATTCAAAATAAAATCACAACAATCTGAAAGGATTACTGATTTGTAGGGGTTTGCTTTTTTCTGCTTCCAGGGACTTCTACAGACATTTGTCTCTGAGCATTCAGGCATTTGAAAATATAGTGGATTTTTTATTTTCTTTTAAATCATAAATATTTGTTGACAGCATTGTGTCTTCGAATACAAGTTAAATATTATGGAGGTGATACATGATATCCTTTATATCCTGTAGTTATAAAATATCACAGCATTTACTTTTTCAAAGATATGCCTTGTGTTGGAGAATAAAGGGAAATTTTTTTTCCTAAAATGGTCGTGTGTGGCCAACACTTGTTTTTATTATTATTTTTTTTTTTTTAGAGTATGTTTAGTTGAAGGAAAGGTGGGAGGCCTGGATTTGAGTATGTTTGTATTAGAAAGGGGTTGGGGAAACTCCAGGACATGCAAGGTCTGCAAGTGCTGTGTGGCTGTGCTAAATTGTTACCATGACACTGAATAATAGTGAGGTGATGAGCTGAATTTCTAATGGCACTAATGGTGCCCAGCAATCCTTGTCTCCTGCCAGTAAAACATGCAGAAGTATTCCATGAATAAACCTTGTTTGTTTGTTTGTGGTTTTTTTAATGCATGATGGTTGTTGTGCAGATGAATAGTGCTGGGCAGGGCAATATATACTGGCTTTTTCACTACTGTGTATGTGAGGTGCTTGTTTTAAGCTGTAAGGATTTCCTGAAATGCAACAGTAAAAATCAGATTGTATCAAGTCCCACGTGTTCTCCTCAGCTTCTGGACTCCAGGGTGTAGCAGGAGTTCACCTCTAAAATAAAGCACTGCAGCCTTTTTTCTTACCTGAAAAGTCAGGATCATTATGAGTTTTAAATTAAAATGCCGTGTAACATTTGGATAGATCACCTGATAAGATTTCCCATTTAAATTGCAACCTGCTGTCTTTTTATCATCTCATCTTCTACCTCTGTCATCGGGCTGCTGAGTAGCTTATATTACCTCTAGTGGTGAGTTACATGAGGTAAGGAAAAATTGATACAGAAGGGTGGGAAGAGGAGATGTCTGGACAACAATGGAGGAGATCTGTTACTCTGCCACTGACTCAGGTTGCACCTGAAGGGTGAGAAATGCCATCTGGCATCATCCCTGTCTGATAAAACTTCATAGTAGCAGCAAATGTTAAAACAGATTCTTCCTTTTTGGCATGTTTTCACTACATGAAGCAGTGTCTTATTTTGATGATTAATGAGAAGACGACAGCTTCCAGACTTTCCCCAGGTGTGCACTTTTAAAATATAGGGTGTGGGACTAACAAATTAACTTAATATTTAAGTCTGCTACCTATTTGTGAGAGTTTGGCTTTGACGTTCTTATCACAGGTGAAAGTGCAGCTTCATCAGTGACGTGGTGTCCATTCACCAAACAAACCAGTTCAGAAATATTCATGGCACAGCCCGGCCCAGCAGAACTACCCCCATTGGCAGGACAGAGAAACTCTTTCTTGAATGCTGGTATTGTGTGGCTGCATTAATCTTTGCAAATTAAGGCTTAATCAGCCTTCTCCACAAAGGATTGATTTATCATGACAGAACTAGTTTTTAAGACCTAGAATTGAAAGGGGTTGCTGCCCAAACAACAAATATGCCCAACCATATTTTCTCCAAGGTAGCACCTCCATAGGAATGTGTTGGAAAGGTTTGAACTAGATGGTAAATATGCAAGGTCTTTGTCCTCAGAACTAGAAGCGGTGACTTTGTGTGGTTTGTCACAATGACTCAGACTTGGAAGGTAGATTCATACTGTCTTTAACATCCCTACCAGGCAACACCAACTGTGTTAATTTTGGACAGAAAGTTGCAGGCTGAAATTTGCATGAGCTGTGTTTGACCTAAAGCTGATTTCATGAGCGTTATAAGTTCAGGTAAAGCACTTCATGAGGATCATGGAAAAGATGTGCTTACAATGGGCTGTTTGCTTTTATCATTTGGTAGATGCATTTCCTTGTGTAGTTTCTCTGAGGTGGAATTTGCTCAGCCTAAGGCTGGACAGCTGTTGCTGTTTGTGGTGACCTCAGCTAAAGTCACACCTTCAGTACTGGTCCCTGGGAGAAAATAAAGAGAAATCTCATATCCTTCCTGAAAGTAAAGTGTGTGTCTGTCTGAAAGGCAGGGCTTTGTTTTCTCTGAATGGACTTTTGGAAGAAAAAAAACCCCAAGTTTCACCTGCATTTGCAGAGAACAAATACAGTGTTTCACAAGGCTCACCATCACCAGCAGAACATTTTCTGAAACAACAGCTGCTGCTGCTCCAGGGACCCCTGTTGGCTGGGAATGGCCAGCAGAGCTGTGGGACCCTCATGGCCACTTAGAACACTCTTAATATTCCAGAAAATCTATTTGACTGTCTTTCACTAAACTAAGAAAATTTAGAGGGCCTGTCATACAATCTAAGAAATTACTTTTTTTTTATGCCCTTAAAAAGGCATCATGCAAGTATCTCAGCAGACAGGTGAATATGAAGTGTTTGGACTGTGGTGAGTCACAGAGGGAGGGAGGCAAGGATGGCTGTTGCTGGTGTGAAATAATGATGAAGTATCTTTAAGATAAATGTCCATTTACAAAAGGTCTAAAAGTTAAAGGTCACCACATTTTGTCTGATGTGATGTTTAGAATCAAAGCATTTCAGAGATGCTTAAAACAAGACACCTACCCACATCTCTGCTTTTCCTTAAGGAATATAATTCACTGGAAATCGCTCAATGGTTTGGACATGTTGAAATGGTTGACCTTTTTGGGACAGTTTCTCTCCAAGTCTCATTCCTCTTGTTCTTGACAGAGTTGGTAAAATGGGGAGTGAGAAGGGGATAGAATATTTTTCATTTGTCTCAGATGAAAACTTCTCACACAGGTGAAAGGAATATTCTCAGTCCCAGAAAGACTAGATTCTTGGCCACTGGAGAGAAAAATAAACAAATATTTCTTTAATCAGGAAAAAAATGAATAATTTATCTTATTTATTAAAAACTAGAGCTTTGTTACCGAACTCCTTATGAATAACTAGTACTTAGAGAGGCATAAACTTCTATCCAGAACGATGTAACACCGATTGGTAGTAGCTTCCAATAAAAAAAAAGGTCCCTCCCTTACAACCTTCTTCCACTAATTTGTAGTTTAGATATTTCCTTATGTTACTCAACTTAGAAACCTCAATTAAGTTTTTTTTCATTAGTCTCCCCAACACCACCACAATTTTCAGCTCAACAGCTTTGGCTTGTGGCCGTAACTGAGCAAAGAGGTTGGACTTCCAGTGGTGAGAGGTGCTGAGAAGTTTCCAGGACCTGTGTATATATAATTACAGCACTCTGGAGGTGTGGTGCAAAGGCCAAACACACCGTGACCTCTTCTTTGGAAACACACAGGAAGGCAGCCAAGGAGTGTGAGCTGCAGAAATCCTCCCCAGTCCCCTTTCTGTTCTGCTCTTGGGGATGATTTACCCCCGCACAGGAACGAGGACAGTTAGTTCTTTTAGTTTCAACCTACTTCCTGTCTTGAGGGATTGCACCTGGATAGGAGAGGCTTGCCAGGCAGGGAGGAGTGTTGGTTATTAAATGTGCAGTGCAGCACTAACCCCTTCTGGCCTCCACATATTGAGGAGCTCCGTGGTAAGAGGTTTCATAACGTGAAAAGAGCGTATTGGCTGCATGTAAACAGAACCCTGAGTTGCTGCAGAGGGGATGAACATTCCCACTACAAGGAATTTATTAAGGGAGAGGGAGAGCTCTGGTGTGTATTAAAGCAGCAGGAGTGAAGCAGTGTGGCACAAAAGGAATACAGGGAAGGTGCCAAGTACAAAAAAATGCAAAGGGTTCCAAGATGTAGTAATGAGAGGCACTGAGAAAGAGACAGCTAGAGAAGTGACAAATATGAAGTGAAACCTTTATTATATAGAGAGTATGTAAGGGGAGAATTTGAATTTGGTGAGATTATGTAAAGTGAAAGATTTCTTCAACAGCTGAATTTATTAATCTGCACTTAGTCCCCCTGCAGCACAAGAAAGTCCAAAGAAAGTTCAGAGAGCCTTTATCAACTTGCACATGTAAAAATCCTCACAAACTAACCCATGCTTTGCATTCCCTGTGATGGATGCCAGCCCTTTACACAGAAAGGTGTGCACAGCACAACACAAGCACCTCTGGTGGGATATTCGTGTTGGTTGCTGATAATGATTATTTCTCATAGGGCAGCAGTTCAGACAAAGGGAAGGCTGCTGTACAGTGAAAAGGGCTGAACATAAACCACTTCTGCACTCTAACAAGCAGCATAAGGATTTTTAGAGCCCTAATAACAGAGAGAGACTTTGGACTTTTCCTGCCCAACTGGCAGCAGTCGCCTTCCCAGGACATTTAGAGAGCTGCAGAGGGATTAATTATAAACATGCAGCTTGATTTGCAGCCATTGCAAAAACATCTGCAAGGTACCGATTGCCGCTCGCACGTACGGCACTGCGCGAGAGCGTCCTGGAGCTTACGAAAATACACGCTGGAGCCATGAATCAAACTCCGTCATGTGACGGAGGGGAGGTGCTGGGCTGGCTCCCAGCCAGTGGTAGGAGCTGATGGGTGGAACAAACGGGGCATAAAAAGACTAATATGACTAACGGATCCTGGATGCGTGGTACCTCTATTTGGATCTACAGGAATGTGGGCTCTGGCAGTTCTGCAGCTCTACCAGCCCTCTGCCTGACACTGGAACTGCTGCTCACAAAGTAGAATCCTGCTGCTCTGTGGTAGGAAGGATAGAGAAAGAACATGGCCTGCATTTTGAAGGTAAACCTCTATCTGTTGCTTGAATGCATTGTTAGAGAGCCCCTCGCTGCTCAGAGGCATGGATTCGGTGCGATCCTATTGCATCTTCGTTGTCTTTTTGAATACTGGGCTTTGTTTGGCAAATGAATATGGAGAGATTCTGCAACTTACAGCTGTGCTCTGCTTCCCTCTGCCATTCTTTTCCTCTTTCCCTGCATTGTCAGAACTGTGAGCTAGTGGGAAGGGAAGTGTGTACTGAATAATAGGAGGGGGGAGAGGGGCTCTGGTTTATCTCAGCTGACTTTGTCTACGCTGAATTCCTTCAGGAACAATAGCCTTTTGGGCAACAGACTTCCAGCACAAAGGGCAAAATGGGGAAGTTACTTTCTTTTTCTTACCTTGCAGCATTTACTGCTTTTAAAGCAAAGGTTGCAAATGTACACAGCTGTCCCAGTTGCTCCTTAAGCACACACTCCCCTGCTGAATCTCCTCAAGATCCACATGCTCCACACGATTATACTCAATATTTACCTGCATTTTTCTAATCGAGCAGCCTATTTGATAGGGGCTTTTCCCCCTCCGTGCCAGCAAATATAAGCGTGAACTTACCGTGGGATCACACGCTTTCTCCAGCCTGCTTTTCCACACCGAGACAAAAGTATTTGCAACCCGCATGTCATGTACATGGAGGGAGCATCCCTAGGAGCGAGTGTTGAATGGAAGGGGAGGAGGCGGAAGTGCGGTCAGTTGGGAACACACGGCGTTTGTTCCCTTGCAGGGCTGTCACTTGCCGGGAGTCTCTCTCCTGTGCCCGGCTTGATCCATTCTCTCCCTGCCTTGCTGCTGCTCTCCGGGGATGTTTTGAGTACATTCGCGCTTTGTTTCTTTTTTCGTAAATGAAACTGATCTGTGAGTTCTTTTGTTATTTTGCAATCTGATCTTCCAGCAAAGAGTCGATTATCTTAAACTTTGGGATGGCCTCTCACAGCAGTTGCCTTCAGCGTATCAACAAAGTGGGATAAGTTGCAAAGCTTCAAAACAGTTTCCAGAGGATAAGTGTTCCTGTGTCTCCATGAATCCAATCCTGGACAACTTCTTATTTTGCTGCACTGTTTTCCCCTTTTCATTCATTCAGTCCCAATTAGCGGGTCAGTGGCACATGGATGTTTTTTGAGTTTTCTGTCTTGAGCATGTGTGTTGTGGCAGCTTATATTAATAAAAAAGGCAAAGTCTGCTGCAAGTGCAGAAACTTCCGTGAACTAGCATGTTCTGCTTGGAGATAGATAGTAACAAACCCCTTTAATCAGACAGCAGTAGTGTAACTGAGAGTTGTGACTTGGGAAGAAGCTCTGTGAATGGAGCCTGGTTTCACAAAGATGAGTGTGTGCACCCTTTTTAAACGCTCCCTGAATGACTTAGCTTGGATCTGCAGATAATCCAGAATTTCTGACTTTTTTTACTGTGTGGAGAGATCACATGTAAAATCTTCCCTCTGGCTGTAACAGTTAAATAAGAATGTTCTTTTAAAAGAAAACTCCAGTGTCTCTTTTCCCGCCCTCCCAATTGTTTCCTCTGCACAGTCTGGCGACACAGCCTGCCACAAACATGCCTTAGAGTTTGAATTATAATACAATAAACATCTTCACTTTGCCCAGGCCTGAAGCTCCGTTTGGGTTATCCTGATGATTAAATCAATAGATTAATTGGTATTCCTTGACAGACAGCCCTCTTCCAGGTTAATTCTTAATCTTGTTAATACAGGCAGGTGCAAGGATAAAAAGTGAAACAGATATGATGAGAAGATTAGCTTTGCCATAAGGCAGGCTGGATTTTCTCAGACAGGCATCCCATAGGAGTAATTTAAATGTCTAGGTAAAGATACTTAATGGTGTTTAAGTTTTTAATGTAATGTCTACAGGTACTCCTCAAGCTTTTTCCCTAACAAGGAAATTCAGAATAGTAAATATATTTTCTTGTTACACCAGGCTAATTCCTTCATGAAAACATAAACCTGTCAACAACACCCTCCTCCTTTCCCTTAGGTTTGTCCTGACTCTCCTTTTTATTCAGTCAGTAGTTTGTGTGGAAACAGGAAAAAAAATCAAAAATAAATATCTGTAGGTATAAATTTGAACCAGGTGTTGGCACATTGGATGGGAAGCCAGAACAACTGGGTGTCCTTGCCACTTCAGCCCTGAGTATCTCTGTGGCTCTGCCTCATGGCTTTCCCTCTTCTGTTCCTAGATTTTGAACCCCCTGCCAAAGATAGTGAGACTGGTTGAATGCTGGAGTTCTGTATGAGTGAGAGTTTAATGTAAATGAGATTGGACAGAGGTGTCTGTAAAGTGAGAAGTACAGAGGTGGCTCTTAAGAATTTACTGGAGTTGCTTAGAGTGGTTAAGAGCATATTAGGAGAGGTGTGTGACCTTTAGATATCAATATTTCATTTTAGCGTGACCACTGCATGAAATGAAATAATCTATGTGCAGCTTGTGCAGAAATGCCTCGGAAGATGATTCTTCCTAGGGTACCTACTGTCCCTCTGGTGTTTGTTGTGCACTCTCCCTGCCTAAGATTGATGGAGCTGTCCCTGATCATGGCTCTAGAAACTTTGCTTCCTATTCAGAAATGGGACCTTCTTGGCAAAACCAGTGAAACTCTTCTTCTGAGGAATTCTCTCTTCTGTAAAAGAAAAGCGGAGAAAGAGGTGAAATAAAGACAAGACAAAATAAAAAAAAGTTTGGCTATGTTAGTAAATTTAGCTATGTTAGTGTGACTCCGCAAATTGTAACTGCTTGAAAGAAGGGTGCTGCCTAAAATTGTGGGCAATTAAGATAAAGCCAGCTTACATAAACAGAAGGGCTGTCAGGAAAGCGGGAAAGACTTTTAGCACTTAACATTGCAAGGGAGATAGAAGGAGGGGTGGGGGGAACCTAAGCTCTTTGAAATGATAAAACTTTATGTAACTACTCTATAATAGTAAGGATAGGAGGTAGGCAACCAAATGTCTATTTAGATAAGGCAGCCTTCATAAAGAGTGTAGATAATTTTGAAACTCGCTGTATAAAAAGCTGTTGTGTTTCTTTTCTCAGCGGACATGTATGGGGGGACGAAATCCCCTCGCATTTCCCCAGCTGTAATAAAAGCATGCTTTATATATATATATATATTGTTTAAGGATTTCTTTGAATCAGGGGCAAGTTCCAAAATGCCTGATGTGTTTTTATTTTCTCCGTCATGAATTTAAAAAGTGTGGCAGAATAGCTGAGTGAAGTGTAGGCATTTCTTGGAAGCAAACAGTTGATCTTATGCTTGTTACTATGGTAGCTGCATGTCACCTTGCCAATTACTAGATTAGCAGTGATTACTAGTTATGCAGTCACTATTATCCCCAACGATATCAGAGTCCTTAAGTTCTGCTGTATCAGCCACTGACTCTTGAAAACGATGACAGATGTTACTCAATAAATTACTTCAAACTCCACTTTTTGCATAATTGAAAAAATGATATTTCAAAGTACCTGTCATCTTACAAAAAATACAACATGAATGATAATGGGATTCTGTAAAATCTTGATATCCCCCACTGAGGAATGGACTGTGATATTTTAAAGCAAATAGAACAGGTAACTTAGTTTGCACGTGCTGAACTTTGCAGGGGATTATGTCTTACCCTATTTCCAAAGTCTTCCTTTTAAATTGGAGGTTTTGAAGAAGATGATGGAGGTTAGTTATGTTGTCATCATAGTACAATTTTTAACTGTGCAGGCTTGAAGTGGTAGAATATAATAATAAAAAAAAAATAACATCCAGGGAGGACTAAGCATGAAATCTTGAAAGATGTTTCCTTCTGGTTTATGTGCTGTGTATTTACTGTGCAGTGAACAACAGAGTTTTTATATGCCTAGAGGCTGGATGTGACCCTGTGCCAGCAGAGATCACAAGTGAGTTGAAACCTTCAGTGAAACTCTATGGTCTAAATAGTATTTGTATAATGTGGTGCAATGTTCTTATTACTACAGCTGACTGAGAGTTCTCTCAAAGTAAGCAAGTGACCAGCTCAAATCCACAGCTTCTTTAGTATTTTTAAGTATAATTCAAAGATTGAAAGAACTGTTTTGCAAAACATACCTTAAAGGTTACAAATAAACAAAACCCTCCAAGAACATGCTTGTAAACTCTTTTCTGGAGGATTCTGTCAAAGTTGACCATGGCTGTGTGTTGATCTATGATCCTTTTGCTTGTTTCCTCTCTGTGGTTATCTCCACTGGTTTAATTAAAGTCACAGGTTGCATTTTCCCCTTAGCTCACATGGTGAGCTGCTTTGGCAGGAATTGTCTTCGAGAGTTTTCTCTGAGTGTTCAGTGGCCTGTGTCTGATTGGGGTCTTCAGACACTGCAGTAATACAGATAACATTACTATCTACAGGCATATGCTCCATCTGCACTTTTGAGACTAAAATAGCAAAGCTGATCTCACTACATTAAATTTTCCACCCTGGCAAGTGCCTGTTTGAAGAGGAGAAGCAGAAGATCTGGAAGCATCTGATCCTGGTGTTTGGACACTTGTAATCCTGGATATTTAGTTATTAGTTTGATTTGTACATGACAAAGATTGTAGATGTTTCCTTCCAAATTTCTACATCATCAAAAGCACATTCCCTGTTTCAGTGTGCTCTGTGTGCAGAGTAGGCAGTGAGTCTCACCAGAACTCCATTCACTACCAGGGATTTGCAGGATGCAGACTCTTCCATGGAGATGACCTCTATATCCTGCTTGAATCAGGTCCAAGATAATTCACATTCTGCCTTGACTGTTAAATTGACTGCAGCAGTGTTTATGCATGGCATCCATCCGTTTTCCTGTGCTGAGAGTTGTACTTGGATCCTGTTTGATCCTCGTGCTGTGCTTTGTCCTCTGACATGACAAGAGATGGAGAGATCCTAGGGAAGGGAACAAAGGTGACCTCCCCTCCTCGTGGGAGGATGCTGCTCTGGTGGTTCATTTCCCAGCACTGGCTGAATTTGCTGCAGGTTTGCTGTAAAGTGAGCTCTCTTCTGAGCCTGTCTTAACCTGGCCATCAACAGTTTTGTGAGCTGCAGTGCTTCTGTTGTGACTGGAATCATTCCTAGGAGAATGGGGTTATATCTCTAGGGAGGGAAGGTGTAAATATGCAAAGGTGTCCCTTATGAGGTATTCACAAATGAGCTGGGAAGTAACAGGTGGATGCAATGAGGGGTTACAGAGAAGAATTGGGATTTCTGGTAGTAACCAGGTTTCTTGTGGATCACTCCATCCTTATTTGCTATGGGTAATTTTTCCCATTCTCTTCCCCCTCCCCAAACAGAACTGGCAAAACTCCATTTTTAATTCTTTCTAATGCTCCTTCTACACTGGATATTTCTATTTTAAATACCTTTTGTTGTTGTTGTTGTTGTTGTTGCTCTACATTGTTCACCTCTAAATTGCTCCAAAGTAAATGAAGCTGCATTAATGAACCTGGCAATGTGCAGGGCTAGGATTTGCTGTATTATGGTCCAGTGGTGCTTAATTACTATGTAAGATTTTATGGAGTGTGGTACATGGAATTTTGTCATGTGGTTTTTTTTATTATGTTGGCTTCTTGAAAAGTTAAGGAAAATTAAATTCTAAGAAGTGTAAAACCACTTTTTACTCTCACTTGCAATGACCTTAAACTAATTATA